GAAGCCTGTCTGCTCCATTTAAAACTGATAATAAGGGACTGTTGGGAAGCAGATGAAGGTAGGAGCAAGTTTTTAGCTGTAATCTTCCTCTCTTAGAACAATCTCTCTCCCTAATTTCCAGCTCGCCAGTTAAGTTCCACACATAAGGAGAGATTGTACATGATTATATGTTAAGCCTGAGTTCTCCAAGAATGGATTTCTAACTGGTGTACAGTGTAGGTTATAATATTGATTGTCTTAGAGCCAATGGAACCCTGTGAGAAACCAGTCCAAAAAGGCCATCCTGAGTTGGCCTTTTACAGGAATCCAATACCGCAAATTGACAAAGCCAACAATAGACTAAATAATGTACATGTAGAATGTAGGGAAGACACAAGGTATGATAAACAGAAATCTGTCCAAAATTAATTCGTAATTGTGCCAACAAAAAACAAAAATAGAGGAAAATGGGAACAGTAATGTACAGTCTGTAGCATACTAGGAAAACACAAGGCAAGATAAACAGATAATTAATATTTGTCGACATTTTGCCAATGACAAACAAAAATAGATTGCAAAAATGAAGGCACTACACAGGACATGTGCAAAGAACAACTGGCAGCCATACATGTCGGTGCTGCTGACCAGTGAGAAAGTTTTTTGCAAACTGGTCCATGTCAAAAGTTGAAAAACCCATGGAAGGATTAATTTCAACATCAATAAAATTATTTTACTTTTGGGAGGTTGGACTGACTCTTAGTTACTCGTAACTCCCAGCCTTCCAGTAAGTTCTCTTAAGTGGGGTTCTGAGAGTGGGGCATGGGAAAATAAAAGAGTTTGGAGTCACATCTCAGGAATTTGAATTTATGCATAGAAAAGCAATGCAAAATACTGGTTGGATGAGATGAAATTTGAATTAAACTTTTACAAAATTAGTATTGTTCTTTCAGAAATTACTCACTTTAAAATAAATTTTGAACTTTCGGTAGGTTATTTGTTACTCTAGCTTCTCTGTATATGTGGATAAACTGGACCAATCTCAATTCCAGAGTATGACCCAGAGATTTCTTAAGCTCCTTGGTAAGCGGCAGTTTTGGTGGTAGGTCAGAGTATGTGTCAGTCAGCAGTCAACCCAAATGATACAAGTGTGATGGTTGATTCAGACGTCAAAATAAATTAGTGAGACTAAATTCATTTTCAAAATGTAAAATGGTCTGCAATGCGTACCAGTAATTTATGCATTAGGTTTAGCACATTAAGAAGTTTGATGTTTGAAATGAAGGCGCTCCACAATCGACATTAATTCCCATGTGGGCCACTCAAAGTTAATTCATGGGTTGACCCAAATTAGGTATGTCGGACTTAATTGCTTCAAACATCGTGCACTTAAATGAAAACTTCAACATGGTGCACATGAAAACTTCAACATTTGAACTGGGCCTAAGATAAAAACTATATGTAAAGTATTGAAGATTGTAGCGAAAAGCATCTTATTTACGTTAACAAGACTTTCAGACAAGGAATCCTCTTCTTTTAAAAAGAGAAAACAACTAATAATATGATTGGTTAGATTTCCGTATAACCCGAGAAGTTTACATTTGAGCAGATTATGCAGAGCCGAAACATGCAGGCGTAATGAATGTATGAGGTTATAGTGAAATCTTACCAAAGATTTTCTTTCTAAACAAAGCAACGAAAGTTTCTAAGCAGTTGTTACCTGTAAACATTGTAATGCCCAAATCGTTAAGCAACGTTGTGGTACGGTCGTACACAGCAGAAAACGTGGTCACATTCCAGCGACTTGCAGTTATGCCGGTGAATAAGTTTGTCCAAAAATAACGCAGAACGAGGGAAGAAACATTTCCAATGGTAGCAACCATAGAAAAGTCTTTTTTTTCGCAAGGTCTTGACAACAAAATCTAGCATTTTCCATTGGCACTCGACGATCATGGCTTCCATTGCACCGTGTTGGGTTCTCGTTCCCAGAATCCTCGCGACACTAGTTTTCCCGCGAATTCCCGATCTTCGCGTTTTATTTTGGGACAAATCGCGAAATGAAATACCCGTGAAATGTGGCTCATGATTTTTCGTTTTTCGCGAAACAAGTGAGGGGATGATATTAAAGGCAATACGAGAGTTTGTATGGGTAATTAAACTTACATCAAATAAATAAGCTAGAACGGATAAAAGTCATTAATAAAGTTTAAATATTGTTACTTGGTGTGTTTCATTTTCTTTCTACGAAGTTTCAGCTCCACTTTCGCTGTGTACCATGTACCATCATCTAAACTACCCGTGTAATCCGCAAAAACTACACAATTCGCGCTGTAACTACGGTTAGAAAGAAAAACCAACGACACCGAGAAACAATGTTTATACTTTTACCCGTTTTATTTCATTTATTTGATGTAAGTTTTATTTGCAATACAAACTTCAATTATTTTGACCCGTAACTTAACAACTCTCATATTGAGCTTGGGTTACCCTGTGCGAAAAATAGATTATCCATTTTCTCCATGATAGCCTCACTCTAAAAGCTGAGGTTGACTTTTTAACTTTTTCAACCTCCTAAAATATACCTAAACATCATTGGTACATCGATTTTTCAAAAAAAAAATTCAGTTTTGACCAAATTCATTGTTTAACCCTTTGACAAGATGGCCGCACCCAAAATTGAAAAACTAAAAACCTGATCAAGTGACCCACGCAAAGAAAGCACTGAAGCACGCGTACAAAGCAAACGCAGTAATCGGCTCCTGGCAAACGTACCAACTAGGCATGCGCACCTAGACATTATTTTGGGTCCATTTTGATGCTACATGTTCACCAAGTTCTTGAAAAATAATTAGTTTTGACTCAAAATCAAGAAGGTTAAAAAAGGTTAGCGTTAGTTTGCTCATGAAGTTTAAAAGACAACTTATCAATATTCGATTTAAGCAGGAGCGCATCTCTTGTGTTTTTGTTTGTTTGTTTGTTTATTTTTCAAGGGGTTAAGGTCAAGAGCTCATTCTCTCTACTTATTCGTGACTGCTGATGGGAGATTCGCTGCCTCAAACTACATTATCATCATGTAATGATGTAGCTAAATTAAATTTCCATTAACATCGCGAAAACTTAGATTTGCTCACCGGCTGAGAAAATCAGTCCAGTGAGCCACCTGGCCTAAAAGAAACAGGGAATTGTTTTCAAACCATAGTACTACTGGGGCACTGATCTAAAATATTCCGCGCTTTGTTTTAAATGGGACAATTCAAAGTAAGTTATCGATGAATTGCCTTTTGAACCGTAAATTTGCATTGCATGTCGTAAATTTTCTCATCTTTTGCACAACTTGTGGTCGAAGGAAAAGAAGAGAACATGGATATTCCAGTTCACGTAAGCGCTTTCTGCTTCTGGTTATTTTTTATCAAGGTTGTGTTTTCCGACATTGAAGGTAAGTGCTCTAGCCGGTCCAATCTTACAAGCTTTTCGACTTCTGTATGTATAGTCAAAGATGGAAATCTCTCGCGTGTGATCTATCCGTTCTAGCTGGGCAGGGCCTGTTAGAGATGCAAGGCCGTCTTTGAATAGAATAAAAAGATTTTAAAGCAGAAAAACTTCAATAACACTATGAAACTGCGTCAGTTTTACATTTAAAACAAAATATTTTATAAGTTTAAGACATACTCTGCATGTTCAAATAATGTATATAGGTACTGCGAATAAGATTTTGGGAAAAAAAATAATTATTTTCATGTCATGGAAGCGTTCAATTTAAAAGCAATACGTTAAGGCCCGGGGTTGAGGCAGGCGTCAGCAAAGTTCGTAACGTTTGGAATCAGCACACTTAAACGACGCAACGGTACCTTCCAGACACTGTCAGTTCCCTTTCACTTGATAGAAATCACTTCCAACATAAGGATTAACGTGCGCCGGCACTGTTAAAACTAAAAACATAGCCCAGCTTCATACAGCAAATTTCCGAGACGGAAAGCATGATACAGAGTCTAATACCATTATATTTTCGGAGGGGAGAGGACACTATAAAATAGCAAAAGGACCTCCTTCAAATAAACCGTGTTATTCAATCTTTTTATAGTTTTACAAATCTCTGACCAACATAACGTAAGTTTTCCTTTTCTAAATGTATTCAATCTACACGTCTTTATTTCTTTATTTAATTCAGTTCGATGTTAGCATTTTTTGCAATCGTTTGTACGTTCTATGTACATGGTATACTGAGGAAAACATAGTTTTCTTTTACTATTGGAACATACATGCACACTACAAGAAACCACGCTTACTTGCGGTGGCTTCGAGAAAAGAAAGCAACCTTTTCTTAACTTTCACGGCAAGGAACAAGGTAATTATCGAAAAGCAGAATAGCGCTAAGTTTTTTCTTCCCTTTTGAAAGTAAAAAAGCAGGTGTTCATGTTTGTTTCTTTTTCAATCAATAATATTGTAATTTAAAATTCCAGTCGAGAGAGTTCATACAAGATATAGACTCCATGGAAAGTCTTCCGTAAACTTCCGAAAGTAAAGACCCCTCGAAAACGGTATAGCAAACCTCCGAAAGTAGGGATAAAATGCTGAAAATGTAACAGCTTCCCGAAATTAACCCCGAAAATAACGACCCTTCGAAAGCAGAGACCTCAAAACGTTTTTTACTTTTCCAAAAAATATCGGGTATGATATAGATATCCGAAACAAATACCTCATTGATCCGAGGCTTATTAATTAATAATGATCGATAAATATAAAAACTGGAAAAAGTGTGACCTTGCAAAAACGAGCCTGGGAGATTAGA